AAGCACTGCGTTCAAAATATCACAAACACATTTTAAAAGCAAACATTTGCAAACACCTTTGCCATAATATTAATTCATGTTAGATTGTTGTGTTACATAGAGTTGTGTTTTGCAAAAAGTGTTTTACGAAATTGAAAACAAAGTCAAAGGCCGAGAATTAGTGTCTGGTTTTGCAGATTTGTGTGTGGTTCTGCTGTTTGAGTGTCAGCTTTCAGAAACTGTGTGACAAGTAAAGATTTTGTGTGTAAGCAGTTGAAACAATACTGTAAATGCTTACAATTCAAATACACAGATGACTTTCCTGCCCAGCGAACACTGAGATCAATAACACTGTACCAAGCTCTTACTAGGATTCAGGAATTATTTTTGCAGCTCAATGTCTATCACAGTATACATACATTAAATTACAGCTACGGATGTATAATTCAGCAATGAACTTTTGGGGAAAAAATCATTTTCATTTTACTATACTGTAAAGTAAACTTGCAGTAGATGAAAAGCACTAGATCAGTTCAAATACCAAAGAATTGTATGAACTTGGCATGCACCACAATACAGTACAGTAACAAATAAAAGTAAAACAAGTAAATTTAGCATCCTCTGCGCATTTGGCAACATTTCATTACAGTATACAACACTATAGCAATTTCTTGGTCTCCTGACACAAGACAAGCTATATCTCTAGTCATTTCTCAGTTCTGCAAAAATGCAGTACACATAAAAAATGGTTACAAATAAAATTTGACAGTCACACGCTTGAAGGTGTGCAACATGTGCTACAGTTTACTGTACATATAGAATAGTGAAATTTCCATTATTTAATGTACTGTACTGTAATTATACTGTATGTGTAACTAAGTATAAAACCTCTGTAGATGATTGGCTCAGCTCTCTCCTCTCTCCGTTGTTAGCATGCAGAGATTCTGATTGGTGTGCCATCAGTTTTTCTACCTAATGTTTAACTTACTCATTGTTAAAAAAATGTGAAAATATGTCTTTGTTTTAAAAAACTGAATAAATGGTTTGGGGGGAAAAGTGCCAACTAAAATTATTAACAGTTATATTAACAATCGAGAAAACTGCAATACGACTAAATTCTTACCTAACTCTGCTATTAGTTTCTGTGATCGGCATTTACTTATTTATTTCATGTTATTGTTACGGCTTATATCCATGATGAAAGTGGAGTGAGCGGTCGGAGAATCGGATCACCAAAGAATTACACGATGAATCTCAGATATATCCGGACGGGATTAGATTAGATGTTGCCATTTTCATTTGAATATATATATACATATTTTTTTAATAATATATTATACCCTCATTGGGGGCTGAGCCCCACCTTTAAAATGAAAATCCTGAAATCACCCCTGAACATGACCCTTTTCTATTCTAACACAACAATGCCTCTGTGTATAAGGCAAAGTAAAAAAAAAAAAAATTATTTCAGTCAGTGTGGAAGAACTTGACTGGTCTGCATAAAGCCAAGTCCTAATCCCAGCTGAACACCTCTGGTGTGACTTTAAATGTAGACCTTGAGCCAAAAACTCATCACCAAACACCAGTGACTTGCACATACATATGGACAAATGCATTGGGACACCCCCTTCTTTAGAACAGAAAAGGCTCTTCCAAAACTGTGGCATCAAAGATGGAAACATAATTCATGTTTTTAAAAATTGTATTTCCATCTTTGTTGCCACAGTTTTGGAAGTGTCTAAAATTATTGTATGCATATGTACAAGTTTGGTACATGTTGGTGTTTGGCGATGAGGTTTTTTTTTTAGTTTTATTGCGTTTTTTTCCAATACTTTGGGCAATATAGTGTATGTTTGGTGCGGTAGGAGGCCCAACCTCATATTCTCTCACAGGGCCCAAAATAGCAGCGCCCCTGCCCATATTGTCCTCTTTTAGTATAAAATAACGTTCTGTATTGGTTATTCTACGGTCACATAGCAACGTTACACAGAGGACATTTGGGATGTTAAGGGATACAGCTCCGACCGGAAACTAACAATTCAATTTTATTTTCTTCCTATTAGACTGTTTTATTAACGTCTTAACCTACCCCAACCCTAAACCTACCCCTTACAATAATGCAAAAATAGTAATTATTGTTGTACAGTATGACAAAGCGTATGCTGTACATACGTAGCGCCGTATGTATCCCTATAGCCTTAACTCTCCAAAGATAGGCTATAAGATAGTCGCTTTTATCCAAAGCGACTTACAATTGGGGGATACATAAAGCGATTCTTCTTAAAGAGGCAAACAGATACAAGAAGTGGTTGTAATACCAAGTTCTTAGACATTGTTCAAATAAGTACAAGCTAGAAAGAGAAGGAATAAATAAAGAGAGATAATTTTTTTTAATTTATTTATTTTTTTATTTTTTTTATTTATATATATATTTTTTTTTATTTTTTATGATGAAGTCAAGTAGAGCCAGCAGAGAGCCAAAAAGATTCTCCTACGGTGAGTAACGTTATGTCTGCTAATTAAATTTAATGATCTATACTTGGAAGTTATTTTAATAATAGTTTTCTGAAAAAGAAGCAAACGTTCCGTTACTACTTACCTGAACTAAGCTAATGTTGTGAACATACCTTGCTAAACCAAAGTGATTATTAAAGTTTAGCAACATGATCTCATGATAATTCGTATCTATTTTATATAAAATGGGGTTCTACAAAACGTACCGTTACTTATGTTTGCATAGACACTGAAATATACTGACGTTTACAGCATCTAAGCAATAGCTTATTGGCAACACAAATCCTTATGAATATTGCAATCGCGACATTGACATTTTTATTATATTTGCTGTCATACCAAAGCAATGTGTTTTTGATGTGGTGAGGGGCCCAAACCCTTTATTCTGTGACCGGAGCCCAACATTCGGTGCTACGCCCCTGCAATTTGTGCAAATATAATGTAGCTACAATAAAGAAAGGTAAATGAAAAATAAAAGTAGAAAATAATAAAAAGGTAAAATCCCAGGCGAATGAAAGTCCGCGGAGCGTCCAGCAGGTGGCGCCAAATCTTTAATCAAACACTCGGCGAAAAAAGCCCATCAATAATAACCAGCAGCAGAGTCTTCTGAGGAGAGGCGAGCAGTTCGGTTTCTTCCCGCTTATTTGCACAACAATGAAACACTTTAAGAACATTTTAAGGTGTAATTTCTGTATTGTTCTCATCGGGTTCAGCGCTACTTGTGCATCTTTTCTTGCGTCCATTCCTACTGAAATAAACATTGAGTGCAGCAGCAGCGAACATGTGAGGAAAATATGATCAATTCATTCAGACCTGAGCGAAAGTGCTTTTGTGTGTTCATTTGGGTGATAGTTTTGTTGTTTGGTGTGAGAACTGTTACTGAATGTCAAAAAGTTTGAGGTATGTGATGGGAATCGATCTCAAATTTTGTTGCTGCGATTTTACTTTATTTTTTTCTTTATTTATTTTTTATTTTCTTTTTTACATCTTTGGCAGATCAAATCAGCTACTTCTAAATACATTACATTGAGCCTGTAATGAGCCACGTGAGACATTATTTTAAATCTATACATAAATGTTAATATAGATAAATATGAATAACGTTTCACACTTGGAACATTATACATTGCTGATGCTTTATTATTAAATGTTTCATGAGATTGTTGTCAGTTTCAAAAGTTTCACATACAAAGTTCTAACATGTTAATGATCTTATTACCTAATTGCAATGAATGAAGTTATTACATTATCAAACTATAGATTCACATAGACATACATATTGTGGTGCTGTAGGGCGATTATTTGCATTAGTGTTTCTTTTTGTATTAGGATTTTTAATATTTTATACATGTCATATTGTGAGAAATAACAATATTGTTTATCAGTACAGCAGTTTTATACACTTTTATCATATATCCTGACTCAAATAATGTGTTTCTAACAGCAAACACTGAGAATAAAGAGAGATGATCTGCTGATGATCTGAATGTCTTGTTGAATGAGTGTTGATCGTCTGAGGCTCATCAATATTAACAGAGCTGCTGACATCTAAGCAATAGCTTATTGGCAACACAAATCCTTATGAATATTGCAATCGCGACATTGACATTTTTATTATATTTGCTGTCATACCAAAGCAATGTGTTTTTGATGTGGTGAGGGGCCCAAACCCTTTATTCTGTGACCGGAGCCCAACATTCGGTGCTACGCCCCTGCAATTTGTGCAAATATAATGTAGCTACAATAAAGAAAGGTAAATGAAAAATAAAAGTAGAAAATAATAAAAAGGTAAAATCCCAGGCGAATGAAAGTCCGCGGAGCGTCCAGCAGGTGGCGCCAAATCTTTAATCAAACACTCGGCGAAAAAAGCCCATCAATAATAACCAGCAGCAGAGTCTTCTGAGGAGAGGCGAGCAGTTCGGTTTCTTCCCGCTTATTTGCACAACAATGAAACACTTTAAGAACATTTTAAGGTGTAATTTCTGTATTGTTCTCATCGGGTTCAGCGCTACTTGTGCATCTTTTCTTGCGTCCATTCCTACTGAAATAAACATTGAGTGCAGCAGCAGCGAACATGTGAGGAAAATATGATCAATTCATTCAGACCTGAGCGAAAGTGCTTTTGTGTGTTCATTTGGGTGATAGTTTTGTTGTTTGGTGTGAGAACTGTTACTGAATGTCAAAAAGTTTGAGGTATGTGATGGGAATCGATCTCAAATTTTGTTGCTGCGATTTTACTTTATTTTTTTCTTTATTTATTTTTTATTTTCTTTTTTACATCTTTGGCAGATCAAATCAGCTACTTCTAAATACATTACATTGAGCCTGTAATGAGCCACGTGAGACATTATTTTAAATCTATACATAAATGTTAATATAGATAAATATGAATAACGTTTCACACTTGGAACATTATACATTGCTGATGCTTTATTATTAAATGTTTCATGAGATTGTTGTCAGTTTCTGCACATACAAAGTTCTAACATGTTAATGATCTTATTACCTAATTGCAATGAATGAAGTTATTACATTATCAAACTATAGATTCACATAGACATACATATTGTGGTGCTGTAGGGCGATTATTTGCATTAGTGTTTCTTTTTGTATTAGGATTTTTAATATTTTATACATGTCATATTGTGAGAAATAACAATATTGTTTATCAGTACAGCAGTTTTATACACTTTTATCATATATCCTGACTCAAATACTGTGTTTCTATCAGCAAACACTGAGAATAAAGAGAGATGATCTGCTGATGATCTGAATGTCTTGTTGAATGAGTGTTGATCGTCTGAGGCTCATCAATATTAACAGAGCTGCTGAAAACACTCTTTATTTCATGTCAATAGCTCCTGTTTTCTCCTCATTTATTATGCTGATGTCTTCAGATCTCCTGTGAATGGACACTTAAAGCTAAAACAGTGTCAAAGGCTTGGAACTGATTATTTTAACAGAACAATTCAACAGCTCAACAATAAACCAGGAGAAAACATGAGATCAAGTATGAGAACTTGCAGCAGAACACATTATTATTATTTTACATTTTATTATTTTATTTACTTCTAAAGCCTTAATCAGTCATTCTGAACCATCATTTTTTGGGGAATTCTGCAGTGATGGGATACACGTTTAATTTATTTACTACTTAGATTATGATTAACATTATTATGTAATTAATTCTTTTCTATTTTTATTTAAATAACTTCACACTTTTAAACTATTTTAATGCCATACATTGTATATGACAAGATTATGCATACATATATATATTTATATATAAATAAACAATGAATTAATAAATAACATTCATTATTATATATTGTATTATCTATCTAATAGATCTATCTAAATAAGAAATATAATATTTACCCACCTGCCAAGCTTTGACAATGTATTACATTAAGAGATTTTTCAAATGAATAATAATGCTAATATAAATAAATAAATAGGGTACCCCCCCCCAAAAAAAAGGACTGTATTTTTTTTTATGTGACACAAAAGTTAAAGTGTCCAAAATAGTTATCATAGTTTTAGTGACAATGACATAAATTGTAAACCAAGTACAAACGCTATAAAACATTATAGAATGTAGAATAGTGATAGAAGTAGAAGTACTGTATGTCAAGAGGGGAAAATTGCTAGTTGGAGACTTAAAGATGCAGACTGGGCTAAGTTCAAAGAAGTGTGTGAAGGTAAAATGACAAGTTCAGCAAGAGAAAGTAGGGAAAAGTAAATGTGCACCCATCTGGGTACACATTAGATACAGATCTTTGAAGAATGAAAACAGGCTGTACTATGGTGGACAGAAAAATGTAGTAAAGTAAATAAAATCAGAAACAGAGCTTTAAGAAAAGACAAAATTCACATTCTTTTGATGATTTTATAAAGAACTCAGGCAGTAATGAGGATAACTAAAATAAATTATTGGAGACAGTTTTGTGATGAAATTGGTATAAATATAGATATAAGTGACATGTGGAATATTATTAGGAAGATGGGTGGGAAGCAAATTAATAAAAGTATTCCACTTTTAATAAAACAAGGTAGATATAGTATGACTAATGAAGAAAAGGCAGAGGAGTTTTTATTAAGGTTCATAGTAATAATAATATATCGGAAAGTATGAGCGTACAAATTGATCGAATTTTGAAAGAAAATTCTAATGTGTTGATCCAAAAAGTACCATCTGGGTGCACATTAGGTACGTTACAAGAGGGGAAACGTACATCTCCAGGGAAAGACGAAATGTGCATATGAAATGATAAAACATATTTCAGATGCATCTCTGTACATTATTTTAGATTTTTTTTTTTTAAATAAGATATGGGAATTGGGAAAACTCCCAACCTCTTGGAAACATGGAATAATAATTCCAATTGCAAAGCCTGGAAAGTACCACGCAATATAGCATTAAATTATAGACCAATTGCTTTAACATCTAATTTATGTAAAGTAATGGAAATAATTATAACATGCTTAAATTATGTAATAGAGAGGAAAAACCTTTTAAGCTCTTATCAGATGGCTTTAGAAAATGATGAAATATAATGGACTCAATAATATGTCTAGATTATGAAATTAGAAAGGCAATAGTGAATAAGGAGGTGTTAGTAGGGGTATTTTTTG